TTTACCTTAAATTACACACATTTAACGTCTTATTAAGCCTCCATCATTTAAAATTTCCGCCTAACCCGTCGGCTTGCCATTACAGCGCTATTGCCCGAATGACTGACAGTCAACATTCCATTCGAGACTTTCCTGTCCCCAGAGGAGATGAAGATGACCTACTCCACATACGTGCGTTGAAGAGCAATCGTGCTGACGTAAGTTTACTCTGTTAAAACAGCTACTGTAGCCACTGTTCTAGGCATCTGCACGATCTTTAGGGCGCGGGTTTAGACGTTTTCGCACGACAGGGAATGTGCTGAAGGTCAAGCCACGTATTAGAATTTCGCGCTGGACTTCGCACGTATGTACGCTTGTCCGTCAGTGCGCTCAAGATCATTCGTGCTTTTATTTTAAGGAGATTCGTTACGAACTACAGACACTATACTTAACCAATAAGCGTCTACTATTTGTAGCGCGCTTCGTTTCAATCTAAAGTTGGCGAGGGAGGTGCTGACAAAACGGGCACGGAAAAGTCTGCTAAGAGAGAGCCGTGAGTACGCTGCTCGCTTGTCACCATTCTACGGCGGCCCCGGTCAGCTAGTATTTATCGACGAAACGTCCAAGGATGAAAGATGGATATTGTAGGATAAGTCCCTTCGGTCCGGAGACCCGAACCCTCTTAGAAAGGTAATAATTGAGCGCACCAATGAGACTACAGAAATGAACCAAAATCCATGGATTTAGCCAGTCCTATCGCACTAGGGCTAGGTGTTTAGCATTCCAACTTATTTCCGGAACTGTCCGGAATCATTGCGGCTTATCGAATAAAGGGCAATACAAATCTAGCACGTTACGAGCACTTGCTGGATAATTGCACTTTGTGACGGACCGCTGTAGCGAGCATACCAAGGCTTCAGCGCCATCGTAGCATTACATACTAGTATGAAACTGCAGCTTGAAGGTTGTACACTTGCGGGTTTGACACCCCGCCGCTAATGGGCTACTTAATTACAGTACAACTAAATATTTTTCTTACAGCGTTTGATTGTCAATAGATATCTAAACATGTAAGCCTAGTCAAACATTCAGTTTAACTACTACATGCCAGCATTTGATTCAGCGACACAGCTTCACATCGAAACCAGCTCCTGCAGGATCCGAGCTCCCTCCGCAAACTCGTGCTTGATGTCCTGATTGCCGAGCGAGATCAGCACCATATTCTTTGGGCATCCTGAAGCTGGCACACGGCAGCGCGTCAGATGCGCCTCGTGCATGCCCGTGCCGAAGCGGGACGATCTCACCGGTCGAACCC